TTTAGCCCACCGCAAAAAATTTCCATTGGGTGGTTGAAGGGTCTTATCATGTTATGTTTTGTCTCGATACACATGAGACCAAGAGGAGGAAGAAAGGGCATTTTGCATATGATCCGCGATAGGGGAGGCATGAGGTTGTATGGCAGTGGTGTTTGAGCGTTGGGTAAGGCGAGGGTGCAGTCTGGGTAACCATCAGATGTCATGCAGAAATTAACCTGGGTTAGGAGAGGTTTGCTGGATTGGAAGCGACGAGAGTGGAAAAATTCGCAGTTGTGCATTGATGAGTTAAGGTTTGAGCTTCGAGCGGAATATCAAAATGATATTTTCGATTCTAGGAAAGTCAAGGAATTGGAGTTTAAGTTGCAGAAGGCATTAGTGGGAAAAGTCAAGGAATTGGAGTTTAAGTTGCAGAAGGCATTAGTGGGAAAAGTCAAGGAATTGGAGTTTAAGTTTAAGATTTCTCATATATTTCGTGAGGTTAATCATAGAGTTGACGCTTTGGCAATAGATTCCTAGAATAGCTTAGCATCATTATAGGAAATCTCTTGTATAAAGTTACACCTTCTGACTCAATGAAAATCATTCAGGCAAATATCTTTCTTCCCTATTTTATAGGTCTAGCATCTCTGCAAATACTCAGAAATGGAGATCATCCCTCCTCTTGGTGATATGATATGTTGATGCTACTTTATGTCACTGTCTTTCTTTTCTGCAATTTGGTCCCATGCTGTTCTTTTTTTCTTTATATATTTCTTTTATATTAATAAAATTATGATCAAGGGGATGGGCGGGGGGTCCCCAGAATGCCTTGGTATCTTCTTTGAGGGTTGTGGATGTTTGTGCATTCAATGACCGATACTGAAGAGCTAATCTTGCCTAATCTCTTGTTCTATTTATTAATAAATAAATAAAGAATACTACCACCTCTTACTACTATACTCATACATCTTTGTTTGAAATTGTTGTTCTGGTTGGCAAAGAGATTTCGAAAGTTCACCATCCTGCATTTTTGTTACAACAAGAAATAATCTTTGCCTCTCACATTCTTTCATAGATGGTAAAATACGGAACGGGAAAAATACATACGTGATTTATTCGGAAATTTTTTAGCAAGTTACAACTGAAAAATTCGGCCACTATATAACATTATAATATTTAATATTTTTATTCAATAATATGTGAAAATTTTATGTATTATTGAAAATTTTGTAAAAAACCACGTGTATTAAACATGAATAATATATATGTATGTGTATTGTATGTTTGCTTTTAAAAAAATATGTATTTTACCGAGTCTTTAAGAGTACGGAAAAATGAAAGTATTATTGAAAAATACGTACTTACTTGTATAATACAAGTATTAAATGGAAAAATGCTAAATTATTTACATGAGTAATAAGTAAAAAATCAAAAGGGGCTAATAGAGACTTGGGCAATGGCCTAATAGTAATGGATAATGCTCTAAACTACTCTAACAGATAAAGGAAAATAATATAGCCGAGCGGCTATACTGTCTAATAAAATTAAAAAAAGAACCCGCCTAGCCCGCCTAGCCCGCCCATTTTTCCAAAACTTGAATGGCGTGTTTTTTTTTTTCAGATTTCTTTTTTCCTGGCTGGTCTGGCATCTCTGCAAATACTCAGAAATGGAGATCATCCCTCCTGTTGGTGATATGAGATACGAATCATTCTTGGACAAATCAAAGTACGACATAGCCTCTTCTTCAGGGTTGGTGCTGGGAAGGTCATTGTTCATCAGCTCGGAGCCACTCCTTGGTTTCCATAAATTAGGGTGAACCATGGGAGTTAATGGCATTCAATCAATATCATCATAATCAAATGACCAATTATCGCTTCGGTTTCAATTTTGAAAGGAAAGAGACGAGAAATCTAAGTTACAGCAAGATTTACTTTTTTTTTTTTCTCCTCCTGTTTTTTCGATGGCATGTATGTTTGGTGACTTAATGCATTATGTTGTTTGTTTCTTATGGTTTTGGCAGTGTTAGTTATTCGTATAGAATGCAGGCTCAGAGTTAGAGTTTATAAGAAATTATGATTCTTTGCTGTGTTAATAAAATATTAAGCATCTTTATTCATAATTTTGTCTTCTGGCAATATAGGTTTTTCTTAATTGAAAATAGGACCCTCTGTAGTTGAGGTGTTGGTAGTCAGTTTATGTGACTTCTGATCTCATGAGTTGGATAAGAGTAGAAATTGCCCTGCTTTACTAATGCCGGTTACGAGAAGTTAATTCCCTATAGACCAAAGAAATAGTATTTGAGGTTTAGCAAGATTTAATTTTGAATCTGGTTATTTCTGCTAAATCCTTAGATTGGCTTTTCAATGCAATTAGTCGTATGGCATGCAGTTCATATTCAAATGACATAGGTATTTTATACAAGTATATACGTTTGGGATTATATGAACTTGTCTACAAAACAAATATTTGAAGCAGAATTTGGGATCCTTTTGGATAAACTTTGAGTTAAAACTGGGGGGATTAATGTGATATGATGATGAACCGAAATCAGTAATGGAATTTTAATACTGACCTGATCTGTAAAGAGCCCCTTGTCTTTTGCTGATTTAATTAACTTTTTGCCTTGCTTTGCATGCCAAATTATTTTATATTTACATCTGATATGCAAGTTAATCACATGATGTTTGCATTTTGCAGCTTCAGCAGTAGCACCTTTCTACAAGGAGATCCGTTTCTTGGAATTTTCAGGACTCTTGATCTTTTATCTCCTCTGTTGATTACGTTGATGGTACGTTTTCTCTATGCGAAGGAGAATTTGCAGGGCTTACAAAAACACCACAGCACAATGATGTGCCATGCTCAGTTTTGTTTTGGCGAGGATGGTAGAGTGCCCATTTGAAAAGTTTGACACAACACAGGTTCCTTATGCAACAACACATATAAAAGTGAATCAGGAGATGATTGCAGGTCAAAGCCAAAAAGGTGGCAGGCCTCTCGTCTCTGTTTTACATTTATGATGTCGCAACTACTGGAAGGTCATTCCTTAAGGAAAACCTCCTAGAGATAGTGTGACCACTTGAAGAATACTTAGCTTGCAGAATTTTCAAAAAGAACCTTATCTTTCTTGAAATCAATTGTAAAATATGGAGGCTCTTTTTGAGCATTTGCAATGCAAGGCAAAGTAAAAATTGATACACAATTTGCATAGGTTAG